TCCTTAATGATTTACAGCCTTGGAAACCTTATGGGGCAGTTCTACCCTGTTCTATAGGGGTCACTATGAGTCGGAATTGGCTTGATGGCAGTGGGCTTGGTTTTGGTTTTATTTATGTACTTGTTGTTGTTGTTGTTACACGCTGTCAAGTCAGACCTGACTCATAGCGACTCCTCCTTGGGTTTCTGAAGTGGTATCACTACGGAAGTAGACTGCCCAACTTTCCTTCCAAGGAGTGGCTGATGGGTTTGAACTGCCAGCCTTCTGTCTCACTACACTACCAGAGCTCCCATATGTCTTTAGTATCTTAAATATGGCAACTGTATTGAGAAGTAATCTCAACTGACACACCTGCATATCCTAAGCCCCCACCACTCCACTTTTCTCATTCTTTCTCTGATTCTGTAACCTCTTCTTCCCTCCTGCCCCTCACCTCTTTGAGCTACTCCTTTGGGAAGCAGAAAGTTGTCTAAATATGATGGAGCAGGTAATTCAATATCTATACTCTAAAAAATACCGATTTTCTGGTCCTTGAGTTCTGAAAGAAACAGTGTCTGCTTAAAACACACATTTACACCTACTCTAAACCTACCCCCTTTAGTATGAGAAAGTAGCAGTTTGTGTCAAGAAGTCAGTTTTCAGTCAGAAAAATCTGCTTTTAATCCAATTCCAACAATCCACTAAGTGTAAGTCTTCCAGCAAGTCACTCACTCAACTTCTCTGAATCACCGATTTCGAGTCCTTAAACGAGGTGGCTGAAAAATCTGAGGTCACAGATGGAAAGCACGTAGGAGTGTACCAGTAAGCAGTCACTAATCAATGGTTATGAAACCAGATTTTGTTTAAAAAAATGTTCTTTAATGGTTGTTAGAAAAAATAGCTAACAATTTCCTCGTAGCATAATGTCAACTAAAAGCATGTTTTTCAACTTCTTTCTTATCTCTTTTAAAACAAGTGATTTGGAAAATGACTACCTTTCATGTCCAAGTATAGTGTGCACACGTGTTGTGTAAAATGTACCTGCAGTACTAAAACTGGCACAGGATGTATACAGGATCAGAGCTGCATGAAACTTGAAATTTCATGTATCACATTTATAAATATGTCAGCCTATCTGTATGTCTAATCATTGCTGTGAAACATGTATAAAAGGAAGATCATTATCTATGATTGATTCTGTTAAAAACCCAAAACCCAAAACCCACTGCCATCGGGTTGACGCGCACTCAATAACACTCACCTGCACCAAATCAGGAAAGATTAAGAAAGAGATACTAAATATTGTAAAGGTGTGCAGGTGGGAATGTAAACGAATTTAACCTTTCTTTTAAGTAGTTTGAGGATGTGTATCAAAACTAAACTCACTGCCATCCAGTCATTTCAGACTCACAGCAACACCTCTTTGGGTTTCCAAGGAGGTATTCTCTATGAAAGTAGATTGCCCAATCTTCCTTCTGAGGAGTGGCCAGTGGGTTTGAACCACCAGCCCTCTGGTTAGCAGTCAAATGTATCAAAAACTATAAAAAAGGAATCACATGTTTACTCAGCATGTTAGGAATACATGCTAATCAAAATAAAGCATTATGTACGAGAATGTTCATCATGTCATTAGTTTAATTGCAAAAAGCTGAAGCAAACTAATGTCTACAACACAATAAACAAAAAACCAAACCAACTGCCACTGAGTCAGTTCTAACTCATGACTACACTATTGTGTGTCAGTGTAGAGCTGTAGTGCATAGGGTGCCCAATGGCTAGTTTTTTGTGGTTTTTTTTTTCCTCCCTGAAGCAGATCTCCAGGACTTTCTTCTGAGGTGCCTCTGAGTGGGTTCAAACCACCAACCTTTCAGTTAGTAGGCAAGTGCACAGCCATTTGTGCCATGATTTCTACAACAGACACAAATAGACTAGACTTATAATAAACCAAAAAAAATCAATTCTGACCCACAGCAACCTGCTTTGGGTTTCTGAGGTGGTAAGTCTTTACAGAAGTAGATTGCCCAGTCTCCCCTCTGTGGAGCGGCTAGTAGGTTTGAACCACCAATTTTTTGGTTAGTAGTCAAATATCTTAAGCACTATGCCACCAGAGCTCCTTTATACTTCTAATAGACAGGATTATATAATAGTGTCATTCTGTGGAATATTACGCAGCTATTAAAAATCATGTAGTTCCTAGGTGGCACAGATGGAAAAGCACTTGGCTGCTAACTTTACCCAGAGGCACCTCAGAAGAAACCTACTTTGGAAAAAAAAAAAAAAATCACCATTGAAACTCTATGGTGCACAACTCTACTCTGACACACACGGGGTAACCATGGAACACCGGTGACTCGATGGCAACTGGTTTCTATCAAAAATCCCATTAACAAAGATGTTTAAATAGCATGGGACTGTGAGCCACAGACTTTATGACTATGAGCCCAGAAGAACTAGATGGTGCCTGGCTACCACTGTCAAGCACTCAGAGGGGGATATGTAGAGATAGATCCTGGATAGAAAGGGAGAAAAATGTGGAACAAAACTCAAAATCATTTGAAAAAAAAAAAAGGGGGATGGGGGGACCAGGTTTGCTGGTCTGATAGAGCCTGCTGAAACCACTGAGACTATGGCCCCTGGTTGCCCTTCAGGTCTGGAATTGAACCCACACCTGTGGCTTCCAGCCAAACAAAAGACAGGCATGTTAGCTGAACATTCACCTGAGGTAGATACACTCCTTAAAGAGAACAATCATAGGAGAAAGAAGGGAGAATCACAGGGAGATAGCTCAGGGGGCAGGAGTGCATGGAGGGATGGACACAGGGAAGAAGTAACTATTGGGAGGAAGTGGTAGGGGAGCTGTTGCATTGGGGTAAACTGTAGTCAATGTCATGAGACAAAGTGCATGTGAACTGCTGTATGGAAAGTGAACTTCCTCTGTAAATTTTCACCCAAATCACAATAAAATAAATAAATAAATAGCATGGGATTGTTGAGTGAAAGAAGTAAGATATAAAGCATTATTTGGCTATGATTCTAAATTTGTGTGTGCCACTGTGATTCTCAAGAGCTAGTAGGAAAAAGAGAAATTTACAAAGAAGAATTAGAGTTATACACAGTGCTCAGAATCCAGTCTGTGTTTTGAAAGGATAGGGTGTTAAGATCTATTACCCATACCCTAATTTCAAAAAGAAGTGTGGGAGAAGGACAGCGCTGATTCAGATCCTTTTCATAAATGGAAGGGACAGGAAAGTGGACAATAAAACTAAAAGTTATATCTGAAACTCATATTCAGCCTCTTTAAATTTCCAGCTTAATGATGCCTTTGGGTATGGTGGCGTAGTGCCTAAGTCATCTGACTGCTAACCAGAAGGCTGGTCGTTCAAACCCACCAGCCACTCCTCGGAAGAAACACTGGGAGATCTACTTCCGTGGTGATACAGCCTTGGTTGCGATGAGTTGAATTCGACTCAACAACAGTGTTTTTTTTTCTTTCTGGGGGAGGGGGTGGCTTTTACATCACTTGCACCAATACTCCCTGCCTAGCCTAGCTAATGAACTCAGTGTGCAGAACTGAGAGAAGGTTGGAAAAGGCTAGAGCTCACAACCTTCCAATATACACATTTGTGCACAGTGGAGGAGGAAATGAAATACTGTGATTTTACACACACACACACACACACACCCCAGGTATCAGGTCTATGCATACCTATCTAAAGTACAAAACATTTTTTCCACTTCCATTCTAAGTAGAAATGTTTCAACATACCTTAACCTGTCTCCCTAACCCCTCCATTCAACAGCTACCGTCAGCCCCACTTCATCACTGGTTTTAAAAATCTTAGTTTACTCCCAGTGTCCACCACCAACAACAACCCAAACAAGACTAGCAGGTACACCAAGATTGTTATCACATCAGTATACGTCAAATTAAATCTAACCCCACAGATAAGAAATGGTACAAAAATTCCTTTGTACATTTATACATCTCATGTTACATACTCTTTTACTCCAGAAAACAAAAAGTAACCCAAGTTGCTGTGATGGAAAGACAGTGCACTTCTGACTTGGCCGGCCAGCGGGCTTGCCTGCCTTCCTGGACCCAGGTGTTTGCAGCAGCCCCACTGTGGAGCAGCCTTCCTTCTGCAAACAGCCTGGAATCAAAGGAAGCCAAAATCAACTGAAGTTACTCTGAACACACAGAAGGCAAAACACACTGAAATTGCCACCTTGTATTTCACAACTCTCAAACTGCAAAGTGTCTACTTGTTTGACATACATACAACTATCTACTTGTTATCAGAGGTCACCCTGCAGAAGAGTTGGGGGATGTTTGGCTGGTTTCTGGTGGTCAATTTCAGCAGCTACAAGAGTTTTTAAGTTCTGAGCCTGAGCTTGAAAGATCCATTGATTTTTCTAGTGACTTAATTTTTTACCAAGATGGAAACGCGCTAAGCTAATAATTAACCTTAAGCATACCATCACTTCGGCTCCAAACATTTTCTACACACACAGTCCTAAATTACTTTCAGTTCTGTTAAACAAAACAGACAAGCTGTAATAAAAGATCTTTGAGAAATGTGATCCCTTTCATTGGTCACCCAGGAGCTTTTCCTCTTAAATCTGCTGCTGCACCCAAAATAAAGATGCCACCCAAAGTACAATTATTTTTGTAAGAAAGTTGCCTAAGATAACTCTTCAGGGTTTCCTGGGTTGAGTAATTCTTGTAGGCGGGTAGGGATGGACAGATCGCCTCCAAGATTATTGTATGCAGAGCTTTCCCCAATTTTTTTTTTTTTAAGCGTCTTTTTTAATTATACTGCAAGGGCTCTGATTTCCACATCTCTGGCTGCTGGGGGGAGTTGAGTGCAACGCGCCAGGTCTGCGGCAGCGGCTCGGGCCAACTCCAGGGGCTGGCAGCCCACTCCCCACCCGGTCCCACCCTCAGGCACACGCGCATAAACCCGCACCCAGACTGCGGTCCGCGCCGGTCTCCCCTGCGCGCCCGGACGGCCGGAACTCACCGCTGTCCAGCCGCGCGATCTGGGGCAGCCGGTAAGTGCTGACCAGTAGGTCAAGCGGAACGGCCACCGAGCTCCACTTCACATCCTTGAGGCTGCAGCCCAGCGAAGGCGCCGGGTCCATCTTCCCCGCCTCTCCTGCCCCGCGCTCCCTCCGCCACCGCCGGCACCACCGCGCCTCGGCGTCCGCTGCTGTTGGCGCTCGCGGTTTAGGGCGCGAGGCAGGCGCCTGGCAGCTCCCGCCGCGGGCAGCCTCGGGGCGCCGCAGCTGAGCCGGACCGGAGGGTGGGGGTCCACTCCCGGCTCAGCTGCTGCTGCGGGGCATAGCTGGGCGCCCCAGTGCCCTTAAGCCCGGGGAGGATTCGGAGCAGTCTGGCTGCCGCAGACGGCGGTTGTTGCGGTAGCTGCAGCGGCTCCTGCTCCGCCGCCTCCTCTGGCCCGGGGTCTGCAGCTGCGGCAGCCGTCCGCTCGCCTCCTCCTCCTTTTACCCCTCCTTTCCTCTGCCTGGAGCGTGTGAGGTGGAGCTGCGGGTCTGAGAAACGCCATAGCAGCGCTCCCAGCACTGACTAATCAGCAAGGTGCGAGCAACGCCTGCGCAGCTCGGGGAGACACCGCCTCCTCCTCCGCCTCCTCGACGCCGCCCGCTCCGCCCTCGACTCCGCCTCAGCCTCCTGCGGCTCCCACCCTGCAGCCCCGCCAGCGGGCGGGCTGGCTCCGCGCGGCGTCATCAGCCCGGCCTGGGCGGCGGGCTCGGCGCGCGCCGTAAGCTTTAGCTCTCGCTCCCCCGTCCGACCGTTCGGGCGCCCTGCAGCCTTGCCGGGTGCTCAGCCTCGGTCCCTGCTCAGGGCCCTTGTTGGAGACCCTAAATTGCAGTGCGAGCCCAGGATTCTTAGTTGCGTTGTCGGGCACCTCCCCGCCACCCCTACCCCTCTACTTCTCACCGTGGCACTGGAATCTCTACTAGGGAGCACAGAAGAGACCTATTTGGTGCTCGCCTCTTCCTGAGTAACCTAGACTTTAAGGAGGTAGGCCAGAAGAGTTCCACAGAGGAGGCTGGGAAAGGCAGGAGGTGTGCACTACTTGACATTCCAATCACATTCGCACCCCTCAACCCTTCGTCTCTACAAACGGAACTGGAGGTAACTCCCCCCATTCTGGACTCCGGCTTCTGGGGAAGAGTTGAAAGAGGCCGAAGAAGTGAGATGCATAAAAGGTGAGGAATGATCAGTACCCACAGAAGGGAAGTTAACCTTTCGGATTAGTACTTGTATGAACTGGAGACCGCCATAGACACCCCGAGGGCAAGGGAAAACTAAGTTATTGAGAACCTACTGGGTTTTTTTCATGTGCGTTTCTCACTCATTTCTCTTACAAAACTGGGAGGATGGAATGATTCCCGTTTTATAGATGTGTGCACCAAGGCATTAAGTAATTTGGCAAGATCACACAGTTTGTAGATGGTCATGCTAACGTTCAAACCCACAGGTTGCTTTCCATGATAAATCATTCTCCCTCCCCAGTGTTTAGCATAGTTTGCTTGTTGTGGACAGAGCTCAGGATATAAAGGTGGCGGTGAGATTCTCACTAGGCACGTCTTGATTTCTGTGTGCTTTTTTTTTGTTGTTGTTTTGTTTTGTTTTTTAACAAAGCATTCGAGTTACACTAGCAGAGGTGAGTGGTTGCTGAGGTGAAAGGGTTGCATATCAACTCTTTGTATTTTCAACACATAGTCAGTGGTCAGTGCTGGATAAGGCACAACAAGCATCCTGCTTCCCTGCCCAAAGGAGCTTGAAAACTTCCCTCACTGCCTTTTAGTGGGCTGGCTTAAAAGTCCTGTGCCAGTGAATAAAACCACCCATTAGGAGCTCTGGTGGCATAGTGGCTAAGGCACTTGACTGCTCACCAGATGGCTGGCGGTTCAAACCCATCAGCCACTCCTCGGAAGGAAGGTTGGGCAATCCTACTTCCGTAGTGATACTGCCTCGGAAACCCAAGGAGGGGTCGTTATGAGTCAGGCCTGACTCGACGGCACATAACAACAACAACAACAAGCATTTGAAGAAAAATTTACACTCACCTTCCTTGTCCTCTTGAAAACATCGGTGATAATTCTCAAAAAGTCTTCTAGCAGAAAATTCCGTCCTTTGTGTCATTCATATTAATTAGTATATATATTAAAAAAAAGCCTTGGGGGGAGAGGTGGGTAATATTTCAGTATATATTTTAATCAGAGTCAGGTCCATAAGATTCTAATATTTGCTTACATAAGAAGAATTTTTAAAAACCTGAAGCTAAATGCCAGCTATTTTTTTTCCTACCTAAATAATTAATCATTTCTGGAAATAAAGCTCAGGCTCCAAAAACAGCATAGGAAACATTTAAGAGTGGATAGGGTCAGGGGTCCTTCCATCAGTAAGTAGATTTTAAATCTTTATATGGTACATTGATTTTAAAACAATAACTTTTTGCTATCCTCTTTAAAAGCTGCATGGATTATGAGGAGTAGTTCCCTCTCACAAAAGAATTGGTACTCTGTGACCTAAAGGCAAGATAAAAAGTGAAAAGATTGAATGCAACCACCTTTTTTTTTTCTTTTCTGTCTATAAAGGACATCCTTCAGATTTGCTCTTCTTGATGGCCTTGCAGAAAAGGTTTCATTTCAATCTGGACATTTAAAGGCAAGACATTTTAATGAACTACAAATTCTTAGTAAGTTGCATATCCTGAGGGAAATTGGACAAAAATATTTTATTTGTAAAATGGAGAGAGTTAGATTGCAGCATTTAGTTAAGAAGAATTCCTTGTTTCTCTTCTAATGAGAAATGTGGGGCATAAACTAAAACACATCAGCTGAGAAGGGTAATCTTTCAGCCTGACAGAACTACAGTTCCAAACAAGGTAGCAGAAGGCATATATCTTAACATTGTTAGACCAATGCAAAGCATGTATTCAAGTGTGTAGCTGTGTATAGGTCCTATAGGATTATATAGTTTATGAAAAAGGAACATCTAAGATCCTCAGGTTGATCCCCATGTTCCTACTGGCTACCTTTATAAACAGATTTGTGAGTGGCAGAAATTTTGGGGAGTTAAAACCTAGAGCCAGATGGCTTGGTTTGATTTGTGGTTTTCCTCCTTTTTAGGATCTTGGGCAACTTGCAGTTTATTCATCTGAAAATGATGATAATAAAGTACTAACTTCACAGGATTGATAAGAGGATTAAATAACTTACTATGTGTCGAGTATTTAAAGTAGTGTGTGGCACATAGTAAGTACTATGGAAGAATTTGTGACTATTAAAAGAACACTGGCTTTGGAGGAGCAAAATTTGGAGGAAAGATAAGGTGACACAGCAGATGTGAGAAAATTATTAGATTTGGGACATTTAGTTACATTAAGCAGGAAGTAGAGATGGGAAACCAAGATGCCTGCACCCAGCTGTGAAGCAACTCCCAAAATCTAGAATCTGTAGGTTGACTTATTCCATAGCTACTAAAATATAACCAGCCCTGCTACTCAACAAATCCAGGCAGGGGTGAGGATAACTCCTGATACACTGATCTAATTGTGTCCAAAAACCCAAGGATGAATCAGACGTGATACTATAGGACTCAGAGACACTTCACAGCTTCCTAATGCTGAGCTTGTTGTTTATACATATATAACTTGTTAATTCTCTGTGTTATCAGCTCTGCAAGATAAAAGTTTTACATGTTGGTTTTCTTTGTATCAGAGTGTCCTGGGTCACGTGATATGCTAGTGGTCAAGTGTGATATCAAAGTTCATAGCCCTACTGGTTTTCTAGGTCTGCATACTCTTTCCCCTTTCAATTAATTTCCACGCTATTGCCAGAGTTAACGTAAAAGTCAGTCCTGGCCTAAAACCATACCTGCATCCTCATTGTCTGTGGAATATATTGTCAGTCTCTTCCTGTGACTTAAAAGCTAGGAGCTCTGGTGGTGTAATTATTATTATGAAATGTGCAAAGACCTGGAGTTAGAAAACCAAAAGGGAAGAACATGCTCTGCATTTCTCAAGCTGAAGGAACTGAGGAAAAAATTTAAGCCTTGAGTTGCCATGTTGAAAGATTCTGTGGGCAAAATATTAAATGATACAGGAAGCATCAAAAGAAGATGGAAGGAATACGAAGAGTCACTGTACCAAAAAGAATTGGTCAATGTTCAGCCACTTCAGGAGGTGGCATATGATCAAGAACCAATGGTATTGAAGGATGAAGTCGAAGCTGCACTGAAGGAATTGGTGAAAAACAAGACTACAGGAATTGACGGAATACCTGTTGAGATGCTTCAACAAATGGATGCTGTGCTGGAGTCACTCACTTGGCTATGCCAAGAGATTTGGAAGCCAGCTAACCTGGCCAACTGACTGGAAGAGATCCATATTTATTCCCATCCAAAGAACAGTGATCCCACAGAATATGGAAATTATTGAACAATATTGTTAATATCACATGCAAGTAAAATCTTACTGAAGATAATTCAAAAACAGTCATAGCGACCTCTCCTTGGGTTTCCGAGGTGGAATCTCTATAGAAGTAGATTACCCAGTCTTCCTTCAGAGAAGTGACTGGTGAGTTTGAACTGCCAGCCTTCTGGTTAGCAGTCAAATGTCTTAGGCACTACACCACCAGAGTTCCTGGGTATATTGACAGAACTTCCAGAAATGCAAGCGGGATTCAGAAGAGGACGTGGAATGAGAGGTATCCTGGTATCCTAGCTGATGTCAGGTGGATCTTGACTGAAAGCAAAGAACACCAGAAAGATGTTTATTTGTGTTTTATTGACTATGCAAAAGCATTTGATGGTATGGATCATAACAAATTATGGATAATATTGAGAATAATGGGAATTCCAGAACACTTAATTGTATTCATGAGGAACCTGTACATAGAGTTAACGTAAAAGTGAGTCCTGGCCTAAAACTATACCTGTATCCTCATTGTCTGTGGAATATATTGTCAATCTCTTCCTGTGGCTTAAAAGCTAGGAGCTCTGGTGGTGTAATTATTATTATGAAATGTGCAAAGACCTGGAGTTAGAAACAAGGGGAACTGCATGGTTTAAAATCAGGAAGGGAGTGCAGCAAGGTTGTATCCTTTCACCATACTTATTCAATCTGTATTCTGAGCAAATAATCCAAGAAGCTGG